ATTCAAATCAGATCAGATCAGAAAGATTCAGATCAGATCAGAAGGATTCAGATCAGATCAGAAACATTCAGACCAGATCAGACCAGATCAGAAACATTCAGATCAGATCAGAAAGATTCAGATCAGATCAGATCAGAAAGATTCAGATCAGATCAGATCAGATCAGATCAGAAAAATTCAGATCAGATCAGATCAGAACTTATAAAATTCAGATCAGAAACATTCAGATCAGGCGAAGAGAACAGCTTCTAAGTTGTTAAGACTCATGAATTAATTTGATACTCTCTTCGTCCCATTTATATTGTCCCGTTTTACCTTTTTGGGAAGTTCCACTTAAATTGTCTCATACGATATTTGGCAAAGTTTGTGTGAGCCTAAATCATTGTTACTTTATTCTTACTTTATCAATTAATATCAACCACACAAACCTACTTTTCTTAATAACCGTGCCACCCTCTTCCGGGACAATATAAATGGGACGGAGGTAGTATATTACAACAGCTGGACATTGCCTGAGTTTAAACGACATAGAAGCTGTTCTGTTCGTCTTAATCTTATTACTTATTCCTGAATCTTATTTTATTCAGATCAGATCAGATCAGATCAGATCAGAAAGATTCAGATCAGATCAGATCAGATCAGATCAGAAACATTCAGATCAGATCAGAAAGATTCAGATCAGATCAGCAACATTCAGACCAGATCAGACCAGATCAGAAACATTCAGATCAGATCAGAAACATTCAGATCAGATCAGATCAGATAAAAAAATTCAAACATGATTTATCACTTTTATTATTATATTAATTATGATTATTATATTATAGTTATTGTTAATAATATTAATATATTAATATAATAATATTATTATTAATAATATAATAATAATGTTAATAATATAAAATTATTATTATATTATAATAATATAATATAATATAATATAATATAATATAATATAATATAATATAATATAATATAATATAATATAATATAATATAATATAATATAATATAATATAATATAATATAATATAATATAATATAATATAATATAATATAATATAATATAATATAATATAATATAATATAATATAATATAATATAATATAATATAATATAATATAATATAATATAATATAATATAATATAATATAATATAATATAATATAATATAATATAATATAATATAATATAATATAATATAATATAATATAATATAATATAATATAATATAATATAATATAATATAATATAATATAATATAATATAATATAATATAATATAATATAATATAATATAATATAATATAATATAATATATTTATAATTATAATTATAATTATGATTTACAATGTAATTATAATTATAATCATCATTATTATTAATATGATTGTTGTTCTTGTTGTTATTTTTGTAATTATTATTACTTCGGAGTAATTATATATTTAAATTAGTAATTATAGATATAATTATGATTATAGAGATAAATATTATAATTATAATTACAAAAAAATAATTATAAAATTAATCATAATTAAAAATATAATTACATTTATAATTGTATCTGTATTTATAATTAGTGTAATTGGTATAATTATTATAATTTTAAATTTAATTTTAATTATTATTTTTTTACAATTATGATTATAATTGTAATTTTATTTAAGTTATATTTTTAATTACAATTATAAATCTAATAATTATAATTATAATTATAATTACAATTATAGAAATATTCAAATCAGATCAGAAAGATTCAGATCAGAAGAATTCAGATCAGATCAGAAACATTCAGATAAGATCAGAAACATTCAGATCAGCAACATTCAGATTAGTTCAGCAACGTTCAGATCAGATCAGAAAGATTCAGATTAGATCAGAAAGATTCAGATCAGATCAGATCAGATCAGAAAAATTCAGATCAGATCAGAAAAATTCAGATCAGATCAGATCAGAACTTAAAAAATTCATATCAGAAACATTCAGATCAGGTGAACGGAACAGCTTCATAGTAGCAGAAGGAGAAAAGATAGAGGCTGTCCTTGACCCGCTGAAGACAAACGTTGGCCTATCCACGTACCCGATTGTGCATAAGGATGGGTGTTTTTGGAAGAAGATTTATGATCAGGAGGGAATCTAAGATAACCAAAGGGGAAGATGGGTTTGACATTACCGGCAATGAGCCAATGAGACATCATGGCTTATTACTTAGTCATTATAAATAATTTATCTTTAATTAATTTAAATAAACTTTTGATTTTCGACAGGTGTTGCCGGTGATACCTCATGGGAGTAGACATGATGTAGTCAATGCGACGATTAATTCATCATATATGTGGTGTAGCCATTCGTTTGACAAAAAAATGCACCTGCAGAACATGACTAATCCATCATATTCTTACGATTTGAAGGTCTTTTCAGATTGGATTACAAACATTGGTGACGGTGTTGCGGGTGAAAGTAATGATGGTCATGTTCGTATTACTATTCTTGAAGATCTATTGATACGCACAAATTGAGATCCTATACTTGCGATTGTTGAAAGCATATTTCCAGAATATGGTGAATCTACAGGTGATATGAGTTGTTTGCGTGACCGTGCCATTTTGGCATCGACACTTGTTGTGGTTGAAGCTGTTAATGGCTATATGATGGCTCTTAATGTTGGTGAAGTTTCAAGAACATATCTTAGTTCCGACAATGTTTCAAGGTAAATTCTACGACCGTTCTAATGGCGAGATTGCACGCACCTGAGTTCTTGAATAGTATAAAATTGTTTGGTATACTGAATTATGAGTTAACGTTAAAGGTAGGGACCCGGACCCAGTGATGCTTGTGCGAAATATTGATCATTCAATGGGGTTGTGTAACGGGACACATTTTATGCTAACGAGGCTTGATGATCATGTTTTGGAGGGGAATATTTTAATTGGTGTGAGTGCTGGACAAAAAGTATAATTTCTAGATTGTCCTTGATGTCATCTGATGTCAGCTTGCCTTTCAAATTTCATAGGCGACAATATCCTGTTATGACTTCATATGCTATGACTATAAATAAAAGTCAAGGTCAATCTTTGTCCCGGGTTGGGTTGTTGAAAAAACCGGTATTTACCCACGGACAGTTGTATGTTGCAGTATCAAGGGTTACCAATCGTTGTGGTTTGAAAATTCTAATTGTTGATGAAGATGAAGGAATCACTGACAAGACTCAGAACATAATGTCATATTCAAAGTGCTCAACAATGTTTAGGTTTACTGTTTACATAAAATAATGCATATTTACAATGTTTTGACTTCAATGTATTAGTTGGATGATTTTGATCTTTTAAGTAATGCTTAGTACTCTCATTGTGACCATAATAATATTATAAGTGTGTTTCATTTTATGTTTTAATTTGATGTATATCAGTATTACATGAAGATAGATGCTCTCATCAATTCATAGTGTGATTTGAATTATAAAACACACATAAATTTGAAAAAAAATTGTCAAACCGTGAACAATGATGTACGTATATTTTAGTTAAAAATTTAAAATAGAGATTAATAATTTAGTTGTAATAATTTAGTATTATAATTAGGGGAATACCTCAGTGAATACGAATAGCCTATACAGATAGGAAACAAAATGATTATATCTTATTCCGGTCCTTAATCTAAGGTTTTATTTGGTAAGCATAAAATTTTAACATCAATTTTTTTTAAAAAAAAATGACATTTCACCACCTAGATGACATTTAACCACAGACGGATAAATTGCTTGAAGTTGAATCCGAAACATCTCTGACTGTGCATCGCACGGGTTTGGGAAAAAAAAGAAACCCAAAAAATACATTTTTCATGGACTGAAGTAGATGGCGTGTAGGTTTGGGAAGAATGATTGTACGGAGTATTTTTTTTAAAGGGGCACAGTGTTCCAACTTCTTCCATTACTTTTTCGTGTACGGACTCAACTAACATTTTCTCTCAAATTAATATTCAAGTATTGTTTAATAATGACATAACACACTTTTACATATTTGCACACCCCCTGATTTGTCATTTACATGGGCAATTCGTATAAATGCATAGTCACCTATAACTTGGAATGTTTTTACTTGGATGATTTATATATTTTAGTTTCAAACCAAATCGGACTTAAACAAATCAGACTAGATCGTACTTTGATATTAGAAATAGTAGAAACACCTATTTTTTTCACAAATTTAGATTCAAGAATAGTTTAAGAATGGCATAACACATTTTCACATAATTGCACTCCCTTATTTTACTTATACAGAGAGACAATTCATCTAAAAAGCAATTCGTGTAAATTTATAGTCAACTTATTACTTAATCATTATAAATAATTTACCTTCACTAATATATATAAACCTTTGAAAATGGAAAAGTTCTTTGTCAATATCATTTGCAAGACAGGTTAGTGCGAGATAAAAGATGTTAATTCATAAGCATTCATTCACATGTTAGCAGTCATTGTTGTGCATTGGTTTTTTGTTGAAAATGCCATTTTTAGTCATATTCAACTTTATGTGGTTGGATTAATAGTAACCAATCAACGATCGTAAAAAAACACATTCCAAATGAGAACAAACATTGAAATCGAGGATATTGTATATGAAAAGTGTTTCAAATGATTTAGCATGAAATGCAATGTATTTTCAAATTATCTTTATAGTGTGATACCTACTATAAAAATTTTATGTAACATAACTCCAGACAATTAAATTAAAATTACAAGTTATTATTATTTGAAATTAAATTTGATTAAAATTAGCTACATCTAAGTATCTAACAACCGTGCATCGCACAAGTGTTCAACGCAGATCCTCTAACATGAGACTCTTTCAATGGTATGTTTTTTTTTTTTTTTTGGATGAAATGTAAATATATATTAACACCCAGAAAAACTATACATCACATATCCTAGATCTCCTAAAACCTCCTCCATCCCCACATAATGTGAGGGTGAAAAAGGAGGTTTATATTTGATCTAATCTATGCCAAAATAACCAAGTATAATACTTGGCCCCATCAAGCGGTTCAAAAAATACATCAGTGATGCAAATGCACGCACACAGATCAGAAGCTAAATTCTAAAGAAGGTACAAAAGGTGCCGCTAAATCAAACACCATAAAGTCCAAGACCATGCTTCATGCCGCGACATCCATAATATCCATGCCACGGCCTTGTACTCAGAAAGTAATCAAGTCATGCGGGTATAAATTGAAAACTACTTTATACACCACATGCTTGACTTTTGCGATGATCTCCTCTTCCTTGACGTCCTCTTCATCAAATCGATTGGCATTCCTAGCGTGCCAAAGGTAGTAAACCACGGCGCAAAAAGCAATCCGGACAGCCTTCCCTTTGATTTTTGATCCTTTGTGGTCCTTCAGGATCCATTTGATCGAGCTGCTAAGCGTGGTCATCTCTCGAGTCATGCCCAACCATTCCTTAATTTTTTCCCAGACCCTACAGGTGTAATGACAACGAAAAAATAGGTGTGATATTGTTTCCAATCCACCCTTGCAAAGGTCACAACGATTAACAATATGTAGGTATCCCAGGTTATCCTGTGTAGGTAACCGGTTCCTCAAAGCAAGCCAAACGTTGAATGAGAACTTTGGGGGGATATAAGACTTCCAAATAAAGCTCATCCACACTCTCGACGTCCCTTTAGTTCTCAACAAATCATAAATCTTTCCGGAACGGATTTTACCATTTACGGATCTACTGTTTAGGCCCATAATGGTATCATTCAGATTGTTAAAGCATCCCAAAATTTGGTCCCGTATGTGACTCAATTTCTTTATGAACATTGAGTCACGATTGTGTGGGATAAAATCCCACACACTCCTACCCTTGAGGTAGACCTCATTTACCCACCTCACCCAAAGGGTGTCTTTCTTACTATGGACATCCCAAAGTGTTCGAGAGAGGAGAGCATGGTTCCAAATCTTGGCATTATGAATGCCAAGGCCCCCCTCCTCTTTTGGTAGACAGATGTCATCCCACGCCACTTTAGAATATTTCCCACCCCATAGAAAAATTCGACAGATAGAAACTATTCTATCTAGGATTATTTGGGGGACCGGGAAAACTTGGAGCCAAAACGATTGGACCCCTTGGATCACAGATCTTATCAACTCGAGTTTCCCAGCATAAGATAGAGTCTTTGCGTTCCATGCCTTTAAAAAATCCGAAACAGTATCAAGCAACGGTGAGTATTGCGCCACAGAAACTTTAAGAGGGGCAAGTGGAATTCCGAGGTATTTAACCGGGAATGTGCCACACCCAAAGTCCACAAGGGCCATGATCTCCTGGAGATCATTTTCATTTACTCCCCCGACAAAAATGTTTGATTTATCATGATTCACTTTAAGACCCGAAGCATCCCCAAACTCTTTAAGAGCTTTGACAAGTATTGCGATTGAATAAGTGTCACCCCGAGAGAAGAGCATTAAATCATCTGCGTAGGCCAAGTGTGTCAATCCAAGTTTCGCACATTTGGGGTGAAATTTGAAATTTGGCCCTTTGGTTTTCAAATTAATAAGTCGAGAAAAATATTCTAAGCAAAGGACAAATAACAACGGAGACATTGGATCTCCTTGCCGAATGCCCCTCTTACCCTCAAAAAAACCATACAAAGAACCATTCAAAGAAACGGAGAATGAAGCCGTGGTAACGCACTCCATAATCCATCCAATAAATCTCACGGGGAAGCCCAAACCCCTTAAGACATTCTCAAGAAAACTCCAAGAAATAGTATCATAGGCCTTGCGCAAATCCACCTTGATCATGCACCTAGGTGAGATCCGCTTCCTCATGTATCCTCGAACAAGTTCTTGGGCAAGAAAAATGTTATCAAACATGAGGCGGCCGTCAACAAAAGCACCTTGGGCTAGGTCAATCAAGCCGGGAAGGCATGGAGTGAGTCTAGCAGCAAGGATTTTAGTAATAATTTTATACATCACATTCGTACATGAGATTGGTCTATAGTCCGAGACCTTCGGTGAGTGATTCGTTTTTGGGATAAGCGCAATAACCGTGTGGTTTATTTGCTTTAGTAACTTTCCCGAACAAAAGAACTCTTTGATGGCCCGGACTATGTCATGCCCAATAACTTCCCAGTTAGACTTAAAAAAAGCAGATGAATAACCATCCGGTCCCGGTGCCTTGTCATTGCCGATGTCAAATAGAGCGTTTTTAATCTCTATTGTCTCAATCGGTGCAAGGAGGCTATCATGGATATTAGGTTCCACCAGGGGACCGGATCCCAAAATCGTGGGATCAAAATGATGGCATTCGGCACCTGTACCAAACAAATCAATAAAAAACTTTACAAACTCATCACCAACTTGCTCTAAAGATGTAGTAAGACTACCATCCTCCAGCATGATAGAAGATATTGCATTACGCGTGGCCTTCCTCTTCACGATTGCATGAAAGTACCTTGTGCCTTTGTCCGCCTCCAGGATATGGTCCGCCTTTGCCTTTTGTTGGTAAAAACTCGTTTCAGCCTCACTAAGGAATGTTGCCCGAGCCCTTTTCTCTTTCAATTGGCGTAGGAGTTCAACATCTGATGGAGATTGAAGCACAAGGTTTTGAATTCTTTGAAATTCCTCTTTGGCTGCCTTAGCTTTGCAAGAAATGTGTCCAAATTCCCTGTCATTTAATTTCTTGAGAGGCCCTTTTAGCATTTTTAATTTTTTAACAAGTGAGTATTGGGCCGAGCCATCAACTGCTTGCTGCCAAACCTGCTCAACAATGTTAGTAAAATTCTGGTGCTTAATCCACATGTTGAAGAATTTAAATGGCTTTGGCTTTGTAGAGGAATTAGAGGAATTATGGAGTATAGAAAAAATGGAGGCCGAATGATCAAACTCCACCTCTATATCAAAGAAATGAGCCTTACACCCAAAGCCATTTTGTCCCCAAACGTCATTAATTAAAACGCGATCTAGCTTAGCCCAAAGGATGCCCCTATTCCAAGTGTGGAAAGCACCCGTAGATGGGGCATCCTGTAGGTTGGCCGAGACCATAAAATCACCTAAATGTTGCATAAGGTAAGCCGAAGGGGGGGTAGGACCCACCCTTTCATTCGGCGAACATACGCAATTAAAATCTCCACAAATAACCCAAGGGTCTAAAATATGACTACCCAAATCCGTGATATGGTCCCACAGAGCTTTACGTTCCAACACAGTATATAAAGGATAAACGAACGTAGCAAGTAAAATGGTTTGGGTGACCCGACAGGTACATTTGACATGCATATGTTGTTTATCAATTTCCAAAAAGGTACAATCCACAAGATTAGGATTCCACATAACTGACATACGTCCCCCATTTAAAGTTTCAAAATTTGTTTCATGTACCCACCCCGGCCACTTATTAGAAACAAAATTTTTAAAACTAATCGAAGACATTTTTGTTTCCAAAAAACAACACAAATTAACGTTATTAACTCGAATAAAATCCCTAATAATACCATGCTTCGAAGGTTTTTTCAAACCTCTAACATTCCAAGTAGCTATCTTGATCATCATTTAATAATAGAGAAAGCCGCAGCCTGCACCTAAGAGAGATAGAGGACTGAAGTATAAGCTTCATCATCCGGGTCTACCCCTCCTTTATCTTTCTTTTCTTTCCTGGCACGTCTCCTCATTTCTTTCAAATATTTCTTGTTCCTGTCTTGGTTAGGGTCAAAAAACGATAACACACGATGAATAAAAGCATTTTTATCAAAATCATACCAATCACCGTTTTTTGTGACCTCCGGGCAACTTAGGAGAAAATCTTCAGTGAAGTTGACCCCGGTATCATCCCAGTTAAGGTCGTCCAGGTTCGCCCCTAACTTGACAATGTTTATTCCCTTCGGTACTTGGTCTGTTTCCCACGCATATGCAATAGTTCTATCCTTCTCATCCAGGCAGACCATTGTAACAACATCATCGTACCCCATCTCATACATATTGGTGACCAGGTACCCTTTCCCCCCATTAATGGTTGGGTCACCTCGGCTTTCAATAAATGCAGCGGCTGGAGTGTCATTTTTTGCATACGGCAGCAAGCTAGCAGCTTCCGGGTTGGTTTTTTCCAAGTTGGCAGCACGCTCAATGGCCATAAGTTGCTTTGTTTGCAAAAAATCAACATTGTGGCGGGCCTGCACATCAAAGAAGCTAGCAACATTAAGAGAAAAAATGTTTTTATTAAAATTATACCATGTTCGTGTGCGGCTAACTCCCGGGAGCGCAACCAGACACGGATCCGTGAACACCATGGCCGGAGCATTGAGATTATTCTCCCTTTGGAAATTTTTCTTCAGCCTGGAAATCGGAATGTAGCTTTTGATTTGGTGCTGCTTTTTGACAAATGCTATGTGGGCCCCATCTTCTTTTGTCACAAACTTGTTGATAATGTCATCCGGTTCTAGCTCATGCACACTCCTAACCATCCGGCCCTCCCAGTCAAAGATAGGATCGGACTCAACAGTCAAATCCGCTTCCTTGGTCGTCATAGGAGAGATAACAGGGGCGTTGGAGCCACTGGCAGTAGGTAAATCCGCAGCAGGGGCAGTAGGTATGGCCGCAGCATGGTCTATTCCCTTTGGTTGGGGCCTCGGTCCAGCCGCATCAGCTATTGGAGCAAAAACACTGGCAGTGTTCTTTGCCGCAGCAGGGGCAGAAGGTTTTCCCTGAGATCGAGGCCTCAAAGCAACATGTTTTGAAGTAGAAACCCCCTCAAAATACTGTGGCTCTTTTCTCACATAAATCCCTGTATTTTTTTTTTACTATTAACCATTACAAATGGGGCCTCCCCATTAGTTGCATCATCCGAATCATGTAGCGCAACTCCCTTCCCCTTTTCCTTTGCCGTGAGCATCAACCTATCTTTCTCTTTAGGAGGATTGAGAATGAGGCATGAGAAAGGGTGATGTCCAAATTTTTTACAATGAAAGCAATACTCCGGGTAAGTTTCATAAATAACTTGTTGCATGTATTCCTTACCCGAAGGTGGAATAATAGGAAATTGCATAACTGGGGGTTTAGAAACATCAACTTCAATAAGGACCCTAGCAAAGTGGGGATAAACCGTATCTTGGGTGACCTTATCCGTTGTGATTGGAATACCCACTTGTGATGCTATCATACCAATCTCTTTAGCTTTCCAAAGTCGCATGGACAATTTGGGAAATTTAACCCAAATTGGCTGTTTAAGAAATTCCTCACTGTCAGTAGAAAAATCATCAGATAGTTCCTTGAGGTACATAGTCTTCCCGTAGAGAACATAAGGTCCCTTAGCCAGTACACGCATTCGGTCCTCTTCGCTCTTTAGCTTAAAAATTACCCACCCTTTGCTATGTGATTTCACTTGAACCTCCACATTCCATTTGGCAGTCATCTCGTGGATAGCCTTCAACCCCGGGAACCTACCAGTAAAATATCCCACCAAGCAATGGCCCCAAATTTCAACCAGGGTGGGCACCTTGAGATGTGAGAAGTCGAGTGTTTCCCCAGTTGGAGGAAAATACTCCAGTTTTAGACCATTACTTGGTGCCCGGTTGTCCCTGAATAGAGTACTCCATTGCTTTGGCTCTTTGTTAGCTTTCCCAGATTCTTCAGAAATCAATATGGGCATGGTATCTTGGGATCCCAAAGAAATAGATCCCTTAGATTCCCCAAGACTGTCTCCATTAGTCTCAACTGATGTTTCAATTATAGATAGAACACCCGTGTTGATTGGTTTTAAAACAAATGATAATTCTGGCTGTACCTCTGCAGATGAAGATGTTGAGCCCATACCCAATAGTTTTCCAGCATAGGAAGCAGACCCCCCAGACTCCTTGGACCCCGCGGCTATAGTTGCAGGTGCCACAGGTGTAGATGGCACGACTTCAGGAGCGACCTGCACAAAAGTTTCCGTTGCAGGCATGGTTTTTGGAGATGAAGCGACCTCTTTA